AAAATGCTAAATCTGCTAGGGGGGGAAGATCCCCGTATTTTATTCACGGAGATTTTCCTGCGTCACTTGCCTCCCCGGGTACAGACGGCGCTGGCCAACACGCCTGTCACGGAGCCCCGTGCTTTGGCTGAGGAAGCGGATCGTTTTTTCCTGGCTACGCAACAGCCCGGGGCAGAGACGTTAGCCGCGACGCTCAGCGGCCCACCGGCAGTCAAGAAAGCGTGGCGGAGGCCGGACACGGCTGTGGCTAGCCGGCGTGGAGACGCCGGAGAGTGCGTTTACCACGCACGTTTCGGGACAAGGGCGAAGAGATGCATCGCTCCGTGCAGCTACAAACCCCCCGGGAAACGGAGGGGCCGGCGCTCAGTAGTGGCTCTGAGCGTCGGCGGCACGTGCAGGCTCCTCTTCGTCAGCGACAGCGTTTCGGGGAGCCTGTTTTCTGTGTGACACGGGCGCTCAACGGAGCGTAGTTCCAGCGTCGAGTGAAGACGTCGCCCGTGGGGGGCACGGACCGCGATTGACGACGGCTAACGGCAGTCCCATTCGCACGTACGGCGTGAGGCCTATGTGTTTGTGCATCGGAGGACAGCGTTTCAGCTGGGATTTTGTGACAGCAGACATTTCTTTTCCCCTCCTCGGAGCGGATTTTTTGTGTGCTCATGGACTCTTAGTGGACGTTAAGAATAGGCGTTTGGTTGATGCCTTAACGTTTTCTTCCCTCGTGTGCACACTTGGCAGCGCAGCGTACGACGGGCTGTCAGGCTCGCTGTCAGGTGCAGACACGTTTCTCAGACTGTTGGCCGAGTTTCCAGACCTGTCGCTACCCACCTTCTCTGCGCTTACCACTAAGCATGGCGTGGAACACCACGTCACTACCGGGGGGCCTCCTGTCTACGCCAGGGCCCGGCGGTTGAACCCTTCTAAGCTGGCTGTAGCGAGGGCGGAGTTCGCAACCATGGAGCGCCTGGGCATTGTCCGCCGCTCCGACAGTCCTTGGGCTTCCCCCATGCACGTCGTTCCCAAATCGAACGGCGGGTTCCGCCCGTGCGGGGATTACCGCCGACTCAACGACGCCACTATGCCTGACCGCTATCCGGTGCCGCACATTCAGGACTTTTCGGCGCATCTGGCCGGTACGGGGGTGTTTTCCAAGGTGGACCTGGTGCGTGGATACCACCAGGTGCCCATGCACCCCCTGGACGTTCCCAAGACAGCAGTGATAACGCCTTTTGGACTTTTTGAGTTCCTGCGGATGCCTTTTGGACTCAAGAATGCCGCTCAGACGTTCCAGCGCCTGATGGATTCGGTGCTGCGGGACCTGCCGTTTGTGTTTGTTTACCTCGACGACATACTCGTCGCCAGCGCTTCAGTGCAGGAGCACCTGTCCCACCTCCGAGCCCTTTTCACACGGCTCAACGAACACGGATTAATCATCAATCCTGCAAAGTGCCAGTTCGGGGTGTCGGACATCGATTTCCTGGGGCACCGCGTCACCAAAGGCGGTGCGACACCTCTGCCAGCGAAGGTGGAGGCGTTGCGGCGTTTCCTCGCCCGCTCACAGCCCGGTCGCTCCGTGAGTTTCTGGGGATGGTGACTTTCTACCACCGTTTCATCGCCCGGGCCGCACACATCATGCGGCCGCTGTATGAAGCGTTGAAAGGCAAGACCCCCGTCCAGGAGATCGACTGGACAGCAGAGGCGGATGGCGCTTTTGCTGAGGTCAAGACCGCGTTGGCTCAGGCGGCTTTGCTGGCACACCCATCATCTACGGCTCCCATCTCCATCACCACGGACGCGTCAGACTACGCGGTCGGCGCAGTGCACGAGCAGTGGGTGGAGGGCGCTTGGCAGCCGCTCGCCTTTTTCAGCCCGCCAGCTGACGCCTAGAGAACGCAAATACAGCGCCTTTGACCGGGAGCTCCTCGGACTTTATTGGCCGTGCGGCACTTCCGTTTCATGCTGGAAGGCCGTGAATTTACGGCGTTTGTCGACCACAAGCCGCTCACCTTCGCCATGTCAAAAGTGGCGGAGCCTTGGTCGGCACGTCAGCAGCGGCAGCTGTCTTACATATCGGAGTTCACTACGGACATTAAGCACGTGGCTGGCAAGTCGAACCTGGTTGCTGATTGCCTCTCCAGGGTCGTCATCGGTGCCGTCCAGTTGGGCCTGGACTATACTCGCATGGCGGCAGACCAGGTCACAGATCCCGGCGTCCAGGCCCTGAAGGTGGAGAGCGCGGGGGCTGCGCTTGGAGGACGTGGTGTTCGGCGACGCGGGCATTACTCTCCTGTGTGACGTCTCTACGGGCCTGGCGCGGCCTGTCGTCCCTGCCAGCTGGAGGCGTCCTGTGTTCGAGGCTGTGCACGGCCTGTCACACCCCGGCGTTAAACCTTCGGTCCGTTTGGTAGCGGCGAAGTTCGTTTGGCAAGGACTGAAAAGGGACGTGAGGACTTGGGCCAGGGAGTGCGTGGCTTGTCAACGCGCTAAGGTGCACCGCCACACGAAGGCCCCGTTGGAGCGTTTCCTGGTGCCTGAGAGGAGGTTTGATCACGTCAACATTGACCTGGTTGGTCCGTTGCCTTCCTCTCAGGGGTTTTCCTACCTCCTCACCATGGTGGACAGGACGACCCGTTGGCCGGAGGCGGTTCCGCTCGTTTCGACATCAGCCGCAGACGTTGCCCGGGCCTTCATTGCAACGTGGGTGTGTCGTTTTGGCACCCCGTCAGACATTTCCTCAGACAGGGGCTCTCAGTTCACGTCCGAGCTCTGGAACGCTGTGGCAGGCGGTTTGGGGGTTAAGCTGCACAGGACTACCGCTTACCACCCTCAGGCTAACGGTCTCTGCGAGCGCTTTCATCGCTCCATGAAGGCGGCCCTCAAGGCCGGCCTTACGGACGGTAACTGGGTCGACAAGCTGCCCTGGGTGATGCTGGGCCTGAGGACCGCACCTAAGGAAGATCTGCAGTGTTCTACAGCAGAGATGGTCTACGGTCAGCCGCTGAGAGTTCCGGGGGATTTCCTCCCAAATGCATCTGCTCCCTGGTCGGCGTCGGCCCAGCGGGCTTTCCTGCGTGACGCCGCTGAGGCCTTTGTTCCGATCCCTACTACTCAGCACGGTACTCAGGTGTCCCAGGTTCCCGCAGAGCTCCGCTCGGCGGAGCACGTGTTCATCCGGCACGATGCGCACAGAGGCCCCCTGCAGCCCCCTTATGATGGGCCTTTCCGGGTCTTGGAGCACGGGGACAAGCACCTGGTGGTCGACCTGGGTGGCAAGGCCGAGCACGTCTCGGTGGACCGGGTGAAGGCTGCTCACCTGGACTTGGACCAGCCTGTGGTGCTGGCTCGACCTCCGCGACGGGGCCGCCCCCCGGCCTCGTCCCCTGTCACGGATTTAAGACCTGTTGTTCCGGTCCCTCCCCTTCCGGGGGCCGCACAGGCGGGAGTCACTTTTCCGACTCCCGTGCTCAGGAGTCGTGGGGGTCGGCGTGTCGTTCCTCCCCGCCATGCTGATTTTGTTTATGTGTGAATTCTGGGGGGGCTTGTGTGGTGACACGTTATTGGACATAATTCACCTTGCTTATTGTGTTGCCACACGGACCCTTTAGTGGGGAACACCTGTAGCTTTAGCTGCCATTCCTGCTAGCTCATCAGGCAGAGCAGTGCATGTGTTAACCTCTCTGAAAGCAATGGATAATAAAGATTGGAACTCCATTCTTAATACACCGCCTCCGACTCTCTTTTCACGGCACTACAACATACTACATACATAGTGATGTACATACATACTGTTAGAAATTAAAATCAATGTTGATATGGCGTAATTTTGAATTAAATACACTATTTCATTTAAATCCGTTTTATTCTGAAAAAAACGGAAGTTCACACTATTAACTTAATACTTTTATTCTGAAAATTCTTCAATTCCGGTTAGCATTAGCATGTGGCGAAATGCTACGTTTTCAAACCGTGAATCAAAGGTGAAATGACATGTGATGTTGTACACTGAGCACACTGTGTTTAGCACTCATGTATTGCCGCTGAATAACGTTTATTAGGGAATGTTTAAATAACCACAGACACCAGAATGATGTAATTTAGCAACAGAAAAAGGCAGGAATTGCATTGGACAACGACCAATAGGAGAAGACCTCAGATGACAACAGGAAGAGCAAGCCAAGAATTGATCTCTCCTACCTGCTGACCTGGGCTGCTTCTCAGGTCGATTAAATTAAATCCTTGCTTCCCTCACTTGCGTCGTTTCCCTGCGTTTAGTCCCTCCCACCAGGGAAGCATGGAGGGACGCAAGGAAACCACGAGAAGCAGGGAAATGAGTTTTAAGAGCAATGGGACGTCCTTTCCTCCGGAGCGTCACGTGAAGCGACATCCGTTTGTGATGACGCTGCACAGCTGTTCGTCTGGCAGCAGCTCTGTACCCGTTATTTCCACAAACACCCCTGCCTCTGTTAGTACACATTTACTGACACAAACATTAGTATCATCTGTTGTAGATCCAAATACATGAAATAAAATAAGAAGTCATTCTCAAAAAAGATAAACGCCATTCTTAAAATGTATTTAAACGAACAATAGTTTGATTAATATTGATTAGAGTGCACAAAAGGAATACAATTATTCAGAGAACAAAAACAGATAGGTTATCTATCAAAACCCAGTTAGATTAACATTCATTGGACTGCACACTTTGTTTGTTTGTGTGGAGCAAATTAACATTTTAAATAGGACTTAATGACTGCGGTTTGGCAGCTGAATTAAAAGCTAAGCAGGTCAGTGAAAAACTACAAGCTGAAACCCATTAAGGTAATTTAGGAAGAAGGTTCCAATATACATGTTGGATAGAAAGAGGTTTAACCTTTCCAAACACAACATGTCTGATGCCATGGCGTGCATTGCAGTAGGCCTATATATATAATGCGCTCCTGCAAGAGGAGCAGGAGCAGTCCAGGCGCCGTCGGGCACGACTACAACAGGCTATTGGTTTCATGGAGGTAAGCATCACTAGTCTGTTGCAGTATGAATGGTTTCACCAACAACAGCAATTTCATGTTCGATCAATTAATTGTCAGTTTAATAAAAGCTAGGTGCTGAAGGTAACATGTATCTTTATTTTGCAGACGGATGTCGATCCCATAGCCATTTTAAACCCTCATGTGCCAGTCCTTGCGGCGTTCTTTGATGGCCAGAAGGACCTCATGCAGGACTACAGACTGGGGCGCCAGTCTCTGGAGGCCCTGCTGAGGATCCTGCCATCAAAGAACACACAAGGCTGGTCACATGAGGTGAATATTTTAATTACCCTTTATTGGTTGGCACACGGCTTGTCATACAGTGTGGTGTCCCGAGCCTTTGATGTCCCCAAGTCGACCGTCTGCAGACTGGTGCACACTGGAGTACAACAAATTGCAGCCCTTCGCCAGGAGGTCATCAAACTGCCCCCCCCTGGAGAACTGGAGGAGGTTGGCCAAGAGTTTGCAAGGCTGGCCAACAGCCCAGTATTCTCCAGGTGTGTGGGGGCCATTGATGGCTGCCATGTCTGCATAAAGACCCCCCCCAGGACCTCTGGGCCAGGATTACCTCAACAGAAAGCTCTTCCCATCCATACAATTGCAGGCAGTGTGTGATGGGAAGGGCTTCTTTCTCAACACCTTTGTTGGGTATCCTGGCTCAGTCCATGACACCAGAGTCCTGAAGAACAGCGCAATTTACAAACAGGCTCTGTATCCTCCCTCAGGTGACACCAAATATTCTTGTTAATACATCAAAATCCATCAATGACTTTTAGTATACTAAATATGTTCTCTCTCTTTTTAGGATTCTTCCTTTTGGGTGATGGTGGCTACCCCTGCATAGAAGGACCTGTGGCCCTCATCACCCCATATAGAGAACCACTGCAAGGGAGGGTGCAGAGCCGCTTCAACCAGCATCATGCCAGGGCTCGCTCCATCATAGAGCGGGCCTTTGGCAGGATGAAAAGCAGGTGGAGATCGCTGTTCTTCAAGGCTCTGGAGGTCCACCACACCTTTGTCCCCTCAGTCATCACCGCCTATGCAGTGCTCCATAACATCTGCCTCACAGCGGGGGACATCCTGGAGCCTGAAGAGGATGTTGGGGACATTGGTGTGGTTCCACCACGTCTGGTGAGGGGGGATCGAGGCGGACATGGCCAGCGAGACCGACTGGCAGGGCTGCTCTCTGCTCCATGTGTGCAACCAGTTGAACTACAAGAACATGATTATTTGTAGGACTTGGGGACACGAAGGCCTTGGACACCACACTGTGTGAAAAGCTGTGTGCCTTCATTTGCGGTTTATTGCGTTGTGATGTTTATAATTTAACAAATAAAGGAACAATGTTTTGACAAACAAAGTGTATCTCAATGGAACAATAACAACGTTGCAAAAACTTAGAAACAAAATCATTTATTTACCAATTTCTCAAATAAATCCAAAAATCTTTTTGTGTTATCCTGATTGGCCTCAAAGCGTTCCTGCTCTCGTTGGGCCTCCTCTTTCAGAAACTCTAATAGGGCCCCCTTACTTGCCCTCTTCTTCTTGGCAGGCGAGTAGGGGGGCCCTATCTTCCTCCATTGCCTGGCCACAAGGAGCAGCCCCAGCTCCACTGGATGAAGAGCCAATCCCACTGGGGGCCACGTCAGCCGAGTCCATCAGGACTGGAGGCTCCATGGAGGGCCGACTCCCAATGGCTTCATGCATCAGGGAAAACCACGACCATGTGGCTGCCGTGGCCTCCCCCGCATCTGTCCCCGTCCCTGTAGGGAGGGTTTTCAGCTCCTGAGGGAGAACAAGGAATGTATGAGTCAGATGAAGACACAATAGAAATAGCTGCATTGTATGCATCTAGAAATACAATATCTCACCTTATATTTTCTTTTCAGGTTGTCCCACTTTTTTGCCAGTTAGGTGGGAGTGAGCAACTCCTCCAACTCCATCTTCTGCAGAACCTCTCTGTGGAGTAAACCATTTCTCTCTCACTCAGGTTCACTGTGGTTCATTCACAGTAGCGGTTACATTGATTATCATACCATGCACCAAAACAACATTGTCAAACAACTCATGTAGAACTGTAGCTCACCCCCAGGCCTTCTTGGCTGTGAAGCTCTTTCCTGTAAACAGGTGCTCATTGTCAGTCCTCTGTTGAATGAGGGCTCTGGTTTGGGCCTCCGTCCCTGTTTAAGGAGAATTATGTTATACATACATCAGCAAAAGGAAACCTTAAGCCATTAACATTTCACTCACATAATGCTGCATATAAATGACAGCTTAATTATTGAATTGAGCCGATTTGAATGTATTGAATTATTTATTACAAATACATTGTGACTGCCAGCCAAATGAATGATGGTACCTTAGTTACGTCTGTATGTGGCAGGTAGTTAAATGAAGAAACAAGTGGTTTCCAACCGAAATATGTCCGATAAATAACGAATGCTGCGTGTGTATACGCACGTTATGTAGCCTATTGCAAATCTTGCCTTTAGTTGGGCATTTCACATGAACATTGTTGAGAAAATATAAAGCGTTCAATAACAGAAATATATGAGTTGTGGGTTAAATACATGTGAACAGATGTTGCATTATCGTAACGGTATCGTTGTAGGCATACAAATAACATGAAGTAAAAGGTACTTACACTTGTGTAGTTTTTCTGCCGCCATGTCTTTCAAATGTGCCAGCTGCATGCTGGAGGCAGGGCTTTTAAACCGAGTGAAATCAAGGATTCATGCCTCAGCTGTGATTGAATGGAAATGACAATAAATGAAAAAAGCGATCATGAAAATGTTTCCAATAATGATTTTTGACCACTTTTGTTCAGATCACATATTTGTAACTAAATGATACATTAATTGAAACGAAACACGGTATAAACTGAGGAGTGAGTCCCGTGAGGTTCATATTGCTCTCATGTCAAGAAGCATCAGATCAGTGCATGCGCTGCCTCGTCCAATCAGTGAGCGATAAGGGGGCGGGGTGAGTATCTGAGGATTTCATCGGAGGATGGTCTGGTGGTTCCTCGGTTATCGCTCCTCCATGATCGCTCCTCGCTCCTCGATCCTCGGTCCTCCGGCAGAAATAAGAGCCATGGGACGGTACTCAAGATGGCGCAGGCAAATCAACTTCCGGTGAGACCGAGGAGCGAGGAAATTAAAATAGTCGACCTGAGAAGCAGCCCTGGACTGACCATGGGGGGCTGACGCGAGATGAGGAGAGCGCCTCCTTTTGCAATTTCATTTGTACACCACCGCATCTTTTGTGTAATTAATTGCTGTTAACTTTTATAAGGTTCCCTTGACTATGTTCAGTCTCTCCTGCCTTCAGGGAGGTTTTAGATGGTTTAGAACAAGAAGGAGAATATACGTAAGTGCTAGTTTTTTTGCGAGTCCAAGTACCGGTTCCCGACGTTCCGGTTTTAACCGGACTTGAACCGAAACTTTTTACAAGTCCAGTACCGGTTCGGTGTACCGGTACGCAGCACTACCTGGAACACTCAGATAAAACAAACAAAAAATCGATTTAATTATATAAATAAAATGTATATAAAATGAATAAATGAGAATGGTATCCGTGTTGTTGATCTGTAATATTACAGTGTTGATTTGTTTGTCCTTCTCGGACCATGCACTACGCATTTCAGTGGGTTTGTGTTAGAAAAGAAAGCAACCAATCAGATCTTGTTCTGGGTCTCTGGGTAGAATATCCTTCAACAAGGTATTCTACATCCTTGATCGAATGCCCTGGCCGTTGCACTGAATGAGAGCGTACGTTTGGACTGACAGTTCGATCAACCAATCATATATTGATTTGTAGCCAATGGGCGTGTTCTTTCAGAGTTCCCCTCGGTTCCAGGGTATTCTAGAAGGCCCGCTAGTTAACTGGCTCGAGACAGAGGATCTTGATGAATGCGACGAAGCAATTCATGCCGTTTTATTGTTTTTAACGTTGAAATGACAAGTGCAACAGGTGAAGATGAAGTTGTTGCGGAATTGTTGTGAGTACCATTTTCAAGACGACAATTCAGTGAAAAGACGGACATTGTAATGCCGCGGGGAGGGGGTGACAGTGTTTAATGAAATGTTATATAACGTCTTTAACATAGTCCCCTGATCCCCCTTAGTAACGTCCATGTAATGCTTAGCAGCGGTGTGTTAGCGAGTATTAACAACCTCTGAAATGTCCAAATTGACCAATAACAATCCAGTTTTCAACTAGGCCGTGTAATAACAACTGATATCAGTTTTCTGATCTTGTGAAATATGATTACGTATGAGATGTACTTTTCTTGGGGAATTTACTGACATTCGTGTCAATCACAATCCCTCTGCATGCATTTCTCTCTGCAGAAAGCATGTAGCTTCTTCTCACATTAAACCTGAGCAAGTTACAAAACAATCTTTGATCATAGTTCCACACACACTCTCTAAACTCTCTGCTGCGACAAACGCTTGATCGGCAAAGCTTGTCGCTGCGGTTTGAAGTTCCCGTGAATGCAAATTGAAAATTAAGGTGCAGTTCCCTTAATCTGCTGTTCTAATCCAGCTCCAAAAAGCAAGTATAAAGAAGAGGAAAATCCGTAGGAAGGGCTACATTAATTATACACAAAAAGAAGAACTACAAAAGAGGGCCTGGTCTTTGAAGATACTGAGCAGTAAATGTCACCCGCAGCCTTTGAAGCTCTCGACTGCCTTTGTCTCTCACTTCTCCTCTACATGAAACACCGAGCAGCAGACAGGAACAGCCACAGTGAGGGACATTTCAACTTGGGAACAGAAGAAAGATATAATATAAAAGCCAGGTGGACTCCACTTGTGTAAGGTACGAACTTGAGATTCACGCTGACAAGTCTCTCAGGATGTCAAACCCTGTAGAAACACGCTAGCACAATAATCAGGACATTTCAACCTGGAGGAAAAATATATATACATTTAGTTTTACTTGGAAAATAACTGAGTTTAACCTGAGACAACACTGACTTTAACTTATGCAGTATTGCAATACGAAATGGTTCAAGTGTTTGTCTTCCGCTTTAAAATCAAAACGGCTCCACCAAAGATTGTAGGTCAACCCTTTGAGAGACTCTACGAATCAGCCGAGCGTAACAACATAGTGAGGCTGGACAACAACTTTGTATGATGGGAATTTACAGTGATTCAATATGTTTGTAGGTCTCCTGGCTACAAAATGTTGTCAGACAGAAGGGTGTCGCCCTGACCAATGTCAGGCAATTATCATATGGATGTTTAGGGCTTGTAATTAACATGCTGCGCTTCCCCTTCTGTCTGCCCCCCGACCCAATTTAGGACTGTAATGTGGATTGCCTTCCTTCCTGTGTCTCATCTGTATAAATGACATTGCTTTTCTGTGTAACGGGGTCAGATCCTGGACTATCTACTTGTGCAGTCTGTCCTTTCCAGCTGGAAATATGATTGATTCTGTTAAATGCTATAACTCTTTATTAAATAACACGACTTTGGTTTAAGGTTGTATATTTGTTATTTTCTTACCAGAAGGTGATTGAGTGTGGAATTTCCACCACACTTTGTATCTGACCCGAACCATGTCCTGAACAGCGAATATGATCATTGTTACCATAAAATCGGAGGTCCAACGATTTGATAAAGTAAGACTGAAGCACTCCAAAACCTGAGTTAAAACTGACACAGACACATGAAATAAAAACTGAGTTTATTCTGGGACAGAAACAGAGTTTAATCGTTGACAGAAACTCATTTTAACTTGAGACAAAAACCGAGTTTATTCTGGGACAGAAACCTGTAGTTTAGTCAAAACCAGTTCATTGTTGGTTGATGGGTTTTCTTGCGGGATTTGTTCAAGTAAATAAAGAATATCAATAGCTTTATCTATTTAGAAAAAGACCATATTGTCCCTATGTATTAGCCCTTTTGACGATCTATAGAAATCATGTGAGAATCATATTGTATATTGAATAAGATACTGAGACAGTCAGAAGTCAGTCAGTCAGTCAGAAGTGAAGAAAATATTCCTGTTCTAGTGAGGGATTGAGTTGTTTTTTTAAAGCCCCCTTTGGCTTTAAGTTTGTCACTGTCTTCTCTCCTGGAGCAGTTTCTATAATTCAACATTTTGAAAATATCCACAGGTCATCTTTGAAAAACTTGACAAGATGAAACTGTGGTGTCAGACTTTTCCAATGTGATCTTTCAATGCTGTGAGCTCCACAAACACAACTCACTGTATTCAGATGGTGTCATATACATCTTAGAATGGGCATTGCATAGTACAAGAGGTAAAGGGAGAAGATATGTGCACTTTTTGGGGGAACTAACCCAAATATATGCTAGTATGAGAGTATTAGATCACTGCCAGTGTACCAAAATACTACTATCCATGACAGCAATTTGTACAAGTAGAGCCTGAATAATCCATTTAACACCCTCTCTTCTGACAATGATGCCTGTTTATGAGATTCCTAATTTACAACCCAGACAAATACCAATCAGCGTGTGACAAATTCTAGTAAACTCAGTTCTTAAAATATTGATCTAATCCTCTCACGGTGATTCCAAATTAATCTCAAACACGTCCTCAACATCCTCGCCCTGTTCTACTTTTCCAGAGCCAAATCCACGTTAGTCATTCTGCTCTTTTTTCTATTCACTCCTCAGCAGTCTCTCCTCATCCACCCTCTCTCTTTGAAGGGAAAAATAAATCATGAGGAAAAAGAGACAGGCAGCAGACGAAGGGAACAAGACTGGGAAATCAACGGGGGAGGGGGCACTTGAGTGGAGTTGTAATCAAGGCCTGTGCGCTCAAGAGGGGCCAATCAATCCAGCTGTCTGCCGCTACATCTCATCAGGCATCTTGAAGACGGCTAAAAATGAGTTGCCGGGTCCAGACGGCCTCCTCGGGGCGGGCTGAGAGCGAGAGCAACAGGCAGGAGTCTTTCATAACACCACAATGTTTGATACGAGTGATGTCATTGTGAATACTCAGGTAGTAAGTTTATCATATTAAGTCCCTGGGATTGTCACATCCTAGCCAACTCCTGAAAATGCTTGAAAACTATTGTATTCTTTTCTTTATGAAGTTTTAGATATAAGTAAGCCTCGAGTGCAGCGGTTCCTAACCTGTGGGCCGCGGCCCCCTAGTGGTCCGCGAAGGCATTGCAAGTGGGCCACCAAATAATTTGCAAGTCATTATGATTTGTGTGAAAAAATTTCATTATTACGTTTTTTTTTAACCCCTTTTTCTTTCTTGATCGTCCTTAGCAACGGTCATTACAGTCTTGACAGCGGTCTGTACTACTGGATTAACAACGTGTCACATGTTCTGAATTGAGTATTGGCAGCTGTGGCTCAGTGGATAGTGTGCTGGACTTCGAATCAGGGGGTAGCAAGTTCGAGTCCCACTGCAGTCAGCATGTCAAGACACTTCACGCAAAATTGCTCCTGTGGGGATTGGCCACAGTACTGAATGTATGTAAGTCGATTTGGATAAAAGCGTCTAACAAATGACATTTAATGTAATGTTCAACTAAACCGTGTAATAAAAAATGTCTGTTTGTTACTGATAGCCAGCTCCTTTTCTAATTAAAATAATCTAAGAATATTATTTAGCCTCCGTAAAGTTTATGTTGAATGTGGGCCGCGAACATCTTTTAGATTCTTAAGTGGGCCCTGAGTTGGAAAAGGTTGGGAACCGCTGCTCTAGTATGTACGTCAAATGGCTCAATTTAAAGGTCTCTTTATGAGATTTATGAGATTATTTACGATGAGAAACATTCGAGATTCTGT